GAAGGTGGGAGGTAAATAAGATGGATGAAGGGGAGTAACCATGGTTTCAACGAGATAGTTGTGTTTGTGTTCTGCCACAACATTTTTTTCAAGGTATAAGGACATAAGGTTTGAACTAGGTTGCTCATATTGAAAAGGAACTAACCAAATGTGGAGTTGACGAATTCGTTGTCATTTTCTCCCTGAAATATATATATTTTTTCGATTGAGTATGAACCATTTGTGAAAGCTAACAATGGTGTTATAAGCTTCGGACCTCTATTTTTATGGGTAGAACGAAGTGAGGTTATAAATATAACCACTAAAGGAAGGAATATCAAAGAATGATTAAATGTATGCCCTCATAAATCCAAGTGAATATGTTTAAAAGGCATAGCAATAAACTTGTATGATAATGTAAAGGCTAAAAGGACATGACTCTGCTATTGAGAAAGAATCACATTTTATTACATCTGAATAAGTAAAACTTAATTAATTAATTAAGAATACACTTCATAACTAGAGATGAAAAAAGACTGAGATAACCATACCAATAGGGGGAGGAGACTATAAACAAATGGTCAAAGGGAGATGCAATGGGGACAGAGGACTTGGGCTAGGTTGGAGGAAGAAAATACAGACCATGATCACATGGCGTTATACTTCACCTGCTTGGATTTGAGTGTCTAAGAGAAGAAATTCTTTTGAGTTAAACATACAGGTACAGTTATTGTATTTCAGAATGAAATGGACAAAGATGATGTTAGACTTTATACAGGGAACATTTGAAAATTACTGAGGTGGAAGGTAATAGATCAGGTGTGAACATTGCAAGCACCTATGCGAGTAATGGGTAAAGATTTGATCATTCCCTAGCCTGCGGTAATTGTTTCTAAACCTTGATAAGATTGCCACCACGATTTGAGGATCTCTAGTTTGTTGTTAGAGTGGCATGGAGTTGATTTGAAGAACCATCCCACAAAGTTAGTTTGGATTCTAATTGGAGATTTATTGTAAAAGACACAATACTATGCTTTATATAACATACAAATAAAAATAAATTGTTTCAATGGTGACAAACCGACACCTCACGACAATAATTCCTTTACGTACCATTAAGGAAGTCGGACCGACATGAGATGTAAGATCTTGTTTTATTGGGCCACCTGAGAGGAATTCACTACTGCCCTTGATTATCCAAAACCCAACATGTGGTTTTTGACAAATCCATCCATGCACTTTCAAATCTTTATTCTCTAAGGAATATTGATATTTATCGTCCACCTAAAAAAATAAATTATTGAAGTTCATATTAGTCGAGCAACACAAGTATTTTGGCAGTACCCAAATTGGCCAAATCATTCTTTACGTAATACAATAAGTTAAATATGTTGGGATTATGAGACATGGGTGAACTTATTTACCATTCAATTTTAAGAAAAGATAGTTTAGGTTAACTTATTTACTACATGCTTCGAAGTATGCGAATATGTTTTTATTTTGTTATTTCGTCAAAAAAATGGAAGTTAAGAGTTCAAGTTCTAAAGAACAGGCTCTAGGAGCCATGAAGGCTATAGATACCTTACTCACTTTCTAGAAATATGATTAAATTTTAGGGTGTCATAGAGAATGGTTGTTGCTTTTCTCCAACCAAACAACAGTAACAAAGTGTATCTAGTTCTGAGATTGTTGGGTTGTATTTGGGTTACCTCCCCTTTCAAACTAGTGTTGGATGGGTTGGTTAGTAAAGCCGCTTCTTTGAAGGCTAGTTTCTCTCCCGTTCTTCTATCGTCCGCGGTTGGCATCACTCTTTGAAGGTTGTTTGATATTGCCATGTAGCTAAACCTGCGCACACATGCATGGAGGATACTATTGATATTCACTAACACTTTGACTTTTGAGATTAAGAGGTATATATAAGATGTCATGTTTCTTTATTAATTAAACTTTGAATAATTTTTTTTATAATATTTGGACTAAATCACGCACAAAAACGTTATGAGTTTTACTTCTTATTTATTTTTCCATATGATCGATCTTACATGCTTTTTCTTAGATTGAATGCAATCCTTGCTTCACTAATATCCACATCAGCCCATCCTTGAGGGTGATTAAATATTGCATAGGTGTAGAAACCAGAATGCCCAGGCAGCAGCACGTACCTGCATGCGAGTACATATATATAATAGTGTTTGTATTTAACTTTGACTTTCCCATATTGCCCTTATGGGGGTTGTAAAAAAGGTAGATCGGTAAAATAGTGAATGTTTATGAAAAACTCGACATCTTAGAGAAGTACGTAAAAATATGAGTAAGAAATATTTTAAGGGTATTATATACTTTTTTTCTTTTTTTGTTTGCCAAAATTGAAAGCACAATGAATTTTGGGACATTAGAAACAGACAAGTATGAATTTAACTACAGTAAAAACAGAGCATTGCCGTGTATGTGTGCTTTTATGGAATTATAAAAAGGGTTGCAATTACTCCATAATAAGGAAGAGTCTTAAATGCACATCCTCTTCCTATTGAGAATATAATTAATCATTTTATCCCGTCAGTCTTGTACTAGAACTTGATCTTCAATACAATAGTGTTGTTATCAATATGGCATCTGACTCATTTTTTACCTAATTGAGAAAGTGTTTTTGTGTGTCAAGTGACAGTAATTCAAGTTCCATGCTTCTCAATAGTTCTCATCGCCAAAACTTTATATGTTTCCTATGAATCATACTAAACCAAATTTCTGGATCTGGCGACATTGATTTCATTACACGCATGCTGGTCTCAACCCGTTCATATGGCACCCTAAACCTGTCCATTGCACCCATATTGCAAATTTACATATTTTAGGTGGGGTAGAAGTTGTTTTTTGAGAAATAGGTGGGGTAGAAGTATTTTGTGGGATGTGCAGGTGGAACTGTTTCGAATTGCAATGTTTTCTCAAGTATATATATAACAATTGCTAGCTCATTTCGTGATGTCAGGCTTTTTGGTTCAACAGTAATCATGTCGTCACATCTCTTGGTTGGTGCACCATCACACCAGTGTTGTGCTGATAGTTTCACCACATCACTAATGGTCCTTCCACGCCCGCTTTAGTCTTTAATGGAGATTGGTGCGTGGTGAAGATGAGGTTTACTTGGGTTGGTGATGGTAAGACTTTAATTTCTCATACTTTTCATTTCCTTTTTTAAAACTAGACTCTTCTCCATTTTTCAAATGTTATGTTTGTCCAAAGTTACACTTTAATCTTCTCTCTGATTCTCATATATAAAAAGTGATTGTGTTTTTGTTGAGTTCTACTCAACCTTTTTTCTGGTCAATGATTCTTGAACGAGGAAACCTCTAATTTGTCAGAAAAATATAGTGAAGACTATTACTCCGTTCTTTCCCACCTAGTCTGACCTAGCATATATATATCCCAATGTTACGTTGTAGATCCTTGGTCAATAACATCACACTTGCAACAATGTTAGATCCTCATAATCATTTTCTCATCCCAATAACAAGACTATATATGCCTGTTATCCTACACGTGTACGTACCTCATGCAATATCAATAGAAGTTACAAATTACCATTCTCTTTGAATACTATGAGTCTATGACTAATAAATCAAAATTACTCGAATTAAATAACAGTAATGTATGATTACATTACACTATTTCATAGTTGGGTACGTATTTTCCCCAATACAAATGGTTGGTATAATTGTTTTTTTGCCATTCTCTTGTGTTTATCTTCTCTAACAACGGGTGAGAATTTATTCAACTAATAATTGTTTAGCCCTCATGTATTATCGATCTCATTTTGCAATCCCACCTCATACATACTCTTAAACATAATTAATGACAACATAAATAATGACACTGCTCAACGTAGATACCGTACGCCATATTATAGGTAAGGGTTTGCCTCTCTAACACGTAGCTCGCCTTTCTTTATATTTTCGGTCCTATGCATTTCAAATGGTTATTTGATTCATTGTGTGTTTGTAGCTTNACGATGAGGGGGGCACTTGAATCATCATCGGAGCTGAAAGATTTCGTAAATGAAAGCTCGATTTGGTTTTCGTCATTAACGATCACTTTGAACTCTGATGCGAAAAGACTGCATGAATGCAAAACATTATTATTTTTGTAAGATAAAGTTTTTTAAAATTATTAAGAGTATGGGTGGATCTATAAAATATTAAGTGGGAAATGTTCTTTTTTTCAGGGAAATGGTTAGGATCTAAAATATATTCAATAAAATTGATTTGCTAGCAGTGATTAATGAATTAATGGGAAGCTCTGTTTTGACATTAAGATTTGATGAATCATTGAAGAAGAACTTTGAAAATGGTTTTATTATTTTGTAAAGTTTATGAAAATTTGACATTATTGTTCTATATCTAGGATGCATGTGTGGTGCAGTACGTGTTTCAAACTTGGGGGTATTTGAACTTAATAGGGTGTAATTAAGGTGTAGTGTTTCAAAGTGTTGATGGGGTTTAATTTCTTTCCTTTTGGTCATTCACAGATCTCCCAAGTTTATGTAGATTCTAAGGCTTTGAATTCCAACTCCATGGCTTGCTTGTTGTGGGTCCAGCACACTTTTGCCTTCCATTATTTTTTTTTGTGAAGGGCCCAAGGCATAACTTTTTGGTGGCAGAAAAGAGAGTGGCTATGGAATTTGGGTGCAGCTGACTTACGAACAGAAAGAGAAAAAAACAAAATACAGAGAGAGAATATTTTGGCAGCGCAGATTTCTCTCGACAGCCTGCACGAATTTGATGTCCGACCGTTGGATTGAGCTAAAACTTTCAGAGATTGTTCCCAACAGATAGGGCTTCAATCTGTTCAATTTTTACGTCAATCGGAGCTACCGATCTCCTGTTATCACAGCTGGTGCAGCCTGCGTTTTTTGGGAGATTTTTCTGATTTTTCTTGTTGATGGCTCTTATGTATGTCGTTGTTGGTGGGCCTTGACATCCTTGTAAACTGAGTTGGATGTTTTTACCCTCAATTTGCATAATAAGAGAAGAAGAGGGCGGACTCCCCATAAGTCCCGTGGTTTTTATTATTCATAACGAAGGCGTTTTCCATGTATAAATATCGTGTGTCGTTTGCATCTTTATTCTTCATATTTGGTTGTGGTTGTTGCTTGATGTGCTTCTGATTTTTGTGCTTGGTGAATCAATTGTGGTAAATTAGGTCAAGCGTGTTTGGTTGTTTGTCTTGAAGTTGATCCTTGTAGGTGTTGTATCCTACTTGTTGCTCCCCCCCACATCTAGTATCGGAGCATTAGCATTGATTTAAACCGTAGATATGGAGTCAAGAAATAATTCTATGGTTAAATTGACATCAACCAATTATTCCATTTGGCATCTTATGATGGAAGATTTGTTATATTGTAGGGATTTCTTTGACCTAATTGATGTGGATAAAACCAAGAGAGATGACAAGCCCACTAAACCTGAGAAGATGACGGATAAAGAATGGGAAAAACTGAAGAGAAAGACCTTGGGAACTATCAGACAATGGATTGATATTAGCATATTCAATCATGTATCTCAAGAGACTGAGACATGTGGAGAAAATTGGAGGGTCTTTATGAGAGAAAGATAGCTCATAACAAGGCCTCGTTGATTAAGAGGCTTGTTAGTCTCAAGTTGAAGCCAGGGAAGTCTTTTTTTGAGTACCATAGTGACTTTCAAGATATCATTAACAAGTTGACTGTGATGAAAATTGTTTTTGATGATGAGTTGCAGGCTTTATTCATATTGATTTCTTTGCCACACAGTTGGGAAACCTTGGTTGTGTCGATAAGCAACTCAGCTCTAGATGGTGTGCTTTCATTGGATGTCACTAAAGAGAGCATGTTCAATGAAGAGCTTAGAACAAAGGAGATGGGTGTTGATATTTCACAGGCACTTGTGGTAGAGAATAGAGGAAGAAGAAAGAGTTGAGGTCCCAAGGGGCGTGACAAGTCAAAGTACAGGTCGAAGTCCAAGGATGGGAGAGAGGCCACGATATGTCACTATTGTAACAAGCTTGACCATATTCAAAAGTTTTGCTATAACTTGAAAGAGACTAGAAAAAGAAGAACAATGATCATCACAAAGAGGGTGATGACAAGAATACAGCAACGACTTCTACTTCAGATGATAGTGTTTTTTTGGTTTGTACTGCAGGTGATTGTTGTCAAGTTGATATTTTTGATTCTGAATGGCTTGTTGATACATGGGCTTCATATCATTGTGTTCCTCATAAGGAGTACATTATTTATTACTGAGCTGGAGATTTTGGTAGTGTGAAGATGGGAAACCCGAGTTCAACAAGTATTGTTGGAATTGGAGATATTCAGGTTCAAACAAGTGTTGGGTGCTATATGACTTCGAGAAATGTTCGCAACATTCCAGATTTACGCCTCAATTTATTGTCTGCTAAAGTACTTGATCTAGAAGGTTACAAGCCACTTTTGGTGAGGGTAAATGGAAATTGTCTTAGAGTTCCTTGACTGCTGCTCGTGGCAAGCTTTATAGCACCTTGTATAAGACACACTTGAAAGTGTGTACTAGTCAGTTGAATGTTGTTGAAGAGAAAACTTCTCCTAAGTTATGGCACCGAGGATTAGCCCATGTTAGTGAGAAAGGTATAAAGCTGCTAGCTGGTAAGTCTCTTATTCATGTTGATGTCACCATTTCTCTTAACCCTTGTCTTCATTGTTTAGCAGGAAAGCAACATAGAGTTTCTTTTCCGAGGAGATCGAGAAGAAAGAAATTGAAGCTAGAGTTGGTTTACTCTGATGTGTATAGTCCCATTAAGGTAGACTCACTTGGTGGTAACAAATACTTTGTTACTTTTATTCATGATTCTACTCGGAGAATTTGGGTTTATATGATAAAGCACAAAAGTGATGTGTTTGGTATCTTTCAGATGCTTCATGCCATGGTGGAAAGGGAGACAAATTACAAACAAGGAAATTTCAAAAAGTTTGCATATTTAAAATGGGAAACTGTTATAATTTTGAATGGCATAGTTTGCATATTTAAAACAGGAAACTATTACATGTAAATTTAACTTAAAGTACAACCCTCACATCACCAAATTCATTTTCAACTAACTAATTACTCTAATCTAATACTACTCCCTCCGTATATCCAATATATCATCCCACAATTATATTAAGAACACAAAGAACATGGTTGAAAATGTATAATGCTCCCTTTTGTCCCTAAATAATATTTCTCGTTTCACTTCACGGAGTTTAACACCATGTTTGGTTCAATGAATTTGGAAGTAAAGAAAAAAGAAAATCATATTCTCATTTTTCTCCCCTAAATGAAAAGAATTTGATTTTCATTTTGCTTCTCATTTTTTTTTCCTTCCACTTTGCTTTTCTTTTTCTCTAACCAAACAAAAAAAAATTATTTTTCCTCTCATTTTCCTTTATTTTCCCTTTCAAATTCCTTAAACCAAACATAATGTAAGAAAAGTGTTGAACAATCAAATAGCACTGGTTAGAATTTGATGAGAAGTGAGCGAAATTTTTTAGCTACATAATTTTTTCTATTAAGAAAAGTGTATTATTTTGGGACGTCTGAGAAAGAAAGACAAATAGTTACGTAGGAACAAAGTATTACTCTGTAGTATTTTGGGCCCTTGGCTAGCGGTATTGCTTTGATTCTCGGAAATGGAAGGTCACAAGTTCGAACTCCAATAGGGACAGTAACTTTTTGAACTTCAATAGGTTGAGTAAAAATATAAAGAGATGTTACATTATAATAAAGTTATTAGTGGTGAGTTTGGGAGCTTACAGGTCATATTTGTTCTTCCTTTTCGTTGTACTCCAAATAATATCCCATTCGCTGCAAAAACCAAGCAAGGGAGGAAACAGATTAGCAACAATAATTCTCCTAAATAGGATTCCACTCACTATATTTCTTTTTATTTATTTCCTTTTTTATTTGGATTGTCACAAAACTTTGTTCTATTTTTATTGAGTATATTTCACTAATTCCTCATGTACTTTGGTAAGTGTGCATCGTTATTCCTCGTTTACCTAAAATTAAAAGGATATTTTAGTCTAAAGGGGCATTGGCATAAGAATATTAAAACCATGAGGGGCAGCGGTGTGAGTTTTGAAAGCATGGGGTAATAGTGCACATTTACCAAACTGCTAGGGGTGTTGGTGTAATAAATTCATTTTTATTTTCAAACAAGATTTTTTGTTTGAATTTGCTTAGCACCCAAAACAATTGTTGTACTCGGCCCGATAAAATAGGCCTTGTTTCTTGTCTAAGCTCACCACCATAGCAGTCGTGACCGGTCGAACCGCACACAAAGCAGATACCAAAAGCTTTTCAAACACAATTAGAATTTTTAAAAAAAGTGAAAAGTATTATACTGCTTCCGTCATATAATGTTCTTCTCGTTCTCGTTTGTGTTTACGAAGTTTGATCGAATTTATTTTCAATTCAATATATTTGATTGTAGGTGTAAAATTAAAAAATAAAATTTACTCCCTCCGTCCCAAAAAGATTTACACGCTTCAAAAAAATTACGTCCCACAATCCCTTACTCATTTCTATTAAAAAACCACTTTTACCCCTTGCTTTTTCAAACCCTACCTATCACATCATACCTTTTTTCTAATAATTTACACATCACATCATACTTTTACCCATCACATCAATGGTATTTTTGGAAAGTCAACACAAAATTATCCCTCCCTTAATTTCTACTTTAGTCAAAATGTACCCATATTTATGGGATGGAGGGAGTATATCTTTAAAAATTACATCAAAAGTTCTACAAAACAAGTAGTGACAAGACTATATTATTTTATCAAATACCTAATGAAAATAAGTAAAGAAAGTGCTTAATATTTAACCGTGTGAAAAGTAACTAGGAATAACTTTTTAGGACGGAGGGAGCAATACTTTTTCGAGTCAAATCAAATTAACTATATTCATAAATTATTTTAAATTTGTAATACATCTCAATACAATGAATTAAAATTTAAAATTTCTTTAAAAGATAAATCAAATTAAATCATTTTTATACTAATATATTAGAATTTATATCTAGTTAAAAAAATTAAAATTTATCTAATTTGGCTCAAAAAAATTATGCTAGACGAGGAAGTAGTATGCTTTTTCCCACATTTGATAATATTATATTCCCTTCGCCCCAAAATAATCATCTTACTTCGAACAACGTGCAAAATTTTATCACTTCAAACATTATTATTTACATATCGGTACATAAATGAAAAATATAATTTAAAACTATATCAAAAGTTCTACAACAAGATATGACAAGAATATTTTTTTTTACCAAATAATCAATGAAAATATACATATAAATACAAGTTATCGAGAGACCAGAATAATAACTTACGCTCTATCGGTTTCCTTTTTTGTATCCTCTAAGACGTTATCAATTTCATCGTATTCAATTCCTGCGATTGATCCCGTTGGATTCGTTAAGGTGACTTTGATGTGGCCGTTTTCCATTACCACCTATAATCAAATCTTCAATATCAATGTACCTACTATAATGTTTTATATGCACAAACAAATTTTAATAATAACAATAGAAAATATTGTGAAAAAATCATGTAGAAAATCATGTTTTATGACCGACAGTGACGAATCGAGGATGAATTCCCACTGGTTGCATTGGGCATATAAATGTTAGAGTATATAAAAATCATTCCAAAGGATTTCTCATCCCAAAAACATTCTTGTTTGTATGTTTTGGAAGTTTTGACGACTAATTCATCTAGCTTAACTTGAAAAGGTTAAAATGGACATAATCAATAGTGAGTACAACAAAGATAAAAAAAATTATGTACTAATTTTACATTTTGTTAAATTGTGTGAAAAAAAATGGCAAACGTGGTGGATGTTTTTTATGCATATACGTTGGTAAGAAAACACTTATTAGATAGTTGATTACATCATACATAAGTGTTTTTTGTGCTTAAAAGTAAAAAAGACTAAGTCATACATATGTTTTGAAACAAATCATTTATAAAAGTAAAATTTGCACTGAATAGGACTAAAACATAATGACTTTCCTAATCTAGGACTTAAACTTTTTTATTACCTAAATAGGACTTATTAATGTCTTGGTGAGAGGAATAATGTCCAGTAATAATAGACATTTACTTGAATAATGACTAATTCATAATGACCAAAAGTACTACATTGGAAAATAAGAACATATGATCCTATATTGGGAAAGTCATTATGTTTTAGTCCTATTTAAGTAAATTTGTCTTTATAAAATTATTCCTTTTCCTTTTTCTGTTTTGATCAAATCATTTATAATTATTCCTACATTTTATGCCTCGAATGACTATATCTCATTTAAGTCACTTTAAAAAAATATTTTTTTAGTGTTTCTATGTACTTATAAATTAGTCAAAATTATATATAAATTATTTTTAATTTATTAAGTAAAAAATACATAGAACTCCAGTAAAGATTAACCAGTTACATGTGTGTCTGTGACATCCAATGCCAAAGAGAGCGAGACTTTTTGGCTTCTATTATTTGTCGTCGAATTTAACCTACAAAAGTTTTATAGGATAATTAAAAAAAGTAAAAAATAACATTCCAAATTCAGCATTACTTATATTCCGTAATATGTTTTAAAAGCAAATTAAACACTGAAATGTTACTTATACACGTACCACATTCATTTAAATGTAACGTGTTACATACTCTTGTTATCAACTGAACACTATAATTTTTTCGACACTTTAAAAAATTAATAAATACTCCGTATTAGAAAGGATAAATTTATATTTGATCAACTTGTGATTTATCAAAAAATCAGATTTTCCGATTAAGAAGAGATGGTGGGAAATTGGGAATAACATACTACAAATTTGAATGTGTGTGTATATGTGTGTGTGTGTCTATATATATATATATATATATATATATATATATATATATATATATATATATATATATATATATATATATATATATATATATATATATATATATATATATATATATATATGTATATGTATGTATGTATATATATATATATATATGTATATATATATATGTATATATATATATATG